CGCGGGGGGGGCGTGGCGACCACGCGGTCGGGCGGCGCGCGGAGGGCGGCCCTGGTGGCCGAAGCTCCGGAGACGGCAGGCTGTTCGGGATCCAGTCTGGCACGGCGGGCCCTCCCCGCGCGATCCCGTCCCCCAGCTTCTCGCCCCTTCAGTCCCGCTTCGTCTTCTCGTCCTGTTTCTCTGCGCTCATGGTCTCTTGCGCTTGGTGGTCAGAACATCCGGTTCCGCAGTTCTTCCTCGGCCCTCCCCCCAGCCTCAGTTTCCTTATCTGTGAAGAGGGTGGGAGGATCCGGGTCACCGCCTCCTGGGTAGCCTTGCGGATTCCCTCCGGAGGGTGGCGACGTCTCTGGCGCGGGGCCAGGAGGTGGTGGTGGTGGTGGTGGGTGGCAGTCCCGCATATTTTTCTTTCCATTCTGTGGACTTGAACGGGGCAGAGGGAGGCCGCGACCCGGGCCTGGAGTTAGAGTCTGAAATCCAATGGGATTGAATCCCCACCGCAGCCCCCACCCCACTCCGTGTTTGCGCTCCACACACCTGAGATGGATCTGCGCAAAGTCCAAGGTGGGCAGTGAGACTTGGCCACACCAGGGTTTCTGGGAAGTCCAGTCCCTCGTGATTTAGGCTAGCGGAAACCTTTTGCCAGGTACCGACTGCTTCCTGTCCTGGTCGCTCCAAGGGTTTACCCGTTTTAGCCGGGAATGTGCACTGGGGTTTAAAATCCACCCCTTTAGCGGTGGTGTGATCAACAGCTTTGCAGCCTCCCTGGGATAGGGCGACCTGCCTCCGACCCCTTAGCCTACTGCCTTGGGTCTGCCATCTCCATGAAAGACACAGGCTGCCCTGCTCCTGCTGTGGGCAGCTCGTGCCGTGGGCAACAGAGCGCCCTGGCTTGCCACACTGGGAGAGGGGCTAGGACAGCCTCCATAGCTGTGTGGGTGGCCCCAGGCATATTCAGGCAGGTAGGGGGGTGGAGGCGCCATCTTTGGAGTCTGCTAAGCCAGAGGGTGGGCATGGATGGTGCCTCCTCTCACCTTGTCCCTCAGCCGCTGTCCTTAGCCCCTGTGGTCTAGGGACTGCCCCGTGTTGGTGCCCAGATGGACTGAGCTTGGGGCGGGCAGCTCTGCATTCCCTGTTGCTACCCATTTATCTCTAGAGAACATTTGAGGGGCACTGAGATAGCAAGGTAGTTTTGTTGTTGTTGTTTTTGTGACACTTGAGAAAGATCTCCTTGCCACAAACTAGAGTCCAGGGTGTCCTGGCTCACACCGAGTGAGTTTCCCATACAGTAAAGGGAGCCTACTGAGTCAGGGCTGCTGGGTCGCCCACACCTTCCAGCCCTCCATTCTTCCTAGTTCCCAGGACTTGACGTTTCGGGGTCTGTGAAAGAGGAATCCAGCACATTCCCTACCCCCTGGGACATCAAGAGACTGTCAATGCTGGGAGGGAGGGGTGACTTGGCCTGCCAGAGAAACTGAGGCCCAAGCGGTGAAATCCAGGGACTAGGGGTGACTACAGATAGCCCTTTGTGGTGGGGGAGCGTGTGATGCCCTCCTTTACTAAATCCTGTATCACACACCATGAGAGATGGTACCATGTCCCCAAGTTCCCCTTATAATAACCATTTGTGGGACCAGGAGAGCCACAATGAATCCAGGCACCTTAATGTCACTTTTGGGGTGTCTGGGGACCACGGACTTGAGTACTGCTGTATAGTTAATTTAAATGATTTATTTTTTATTTTTTGGTTTTTCAAGACAGGGTCTCTCTGTGTAGCTTTGCGCTTTTCCTGGATCTCGCTCTGTAGACCAGGCTGGCCTCGAACTCACAGAGATCCGCCTGGCTCTGCCTCCCGAGTGCTGGGATTAAAAGGCGTGCGCCATCACCGCCTGGCAAAATGATTTTTTTGATAGACTCCTGTCTATCTCTATGTAGCCCTGGCTATCCTAGAACTCAGTTTGTAGACCAGGCTGGCCTCAAATTCACAGATCCACCTGTCCCTACCTCCTGAAGGCTGGGATTAAAGGCCACCACGCCTGGAACCATTATCGTTAATTTAAAGGCCTGATATTTTTTGAGACAAGTTCTCACTCTAGCCCAGACTGGCTTTGAAACTCGAGGTAATCCTCCTGTTCCAGCTTTCTCCTAAGGGCTAGGATCACAAGCAAAAGCCACCTCTGACTTAACCAGCAGCCTCTTTTCTGTGGAAGAGGATTTGGCTATTGTATACTGCAGGGGGAGGTGGTACACTTCCGCCCGGGTCAGTGGGACTCCCTCTAGTGCAGGCCAGGGGTAGATCTGGTCCCCTGCAGAGCCATGCCTAAGGCTGTGGACTTGGAGTGAGTCCTGTCTCCGTCCGCTCGCTCATTCCTGCCTAGGGACTGGAGCCATTTAGTTCTCCTAGGCATAGATGGGGCGAGGTAAAGGGCCACCTTGAGGCCCCATTATGTTCACCCCATTGACCTTGGGGGGTGTAGAGACCGAGGGGATTACGGGACACCCCCCTATCCCAGGACCTGCAGGCAGGAGGCAGAGCTTGGCACCCCTGAAGGCCACAGTTGCCCCAGCCCCTGATTGGGGTGGGGAAGGACTTGAGAGGCTGTGGGAGATGTTGACGAGGTTGCCATGGATACTGCCAGAGCTAGCCTTGGGGCGGGGGCGGGAGGAGAGGCTGGCTGCCGGTTCTGCCCGCCAAGCCCCTCCATCCCTGGCACGCTCTCTCCCTGGGCTGGGGGGTGGGGGGGTCCTTGATTTGCTCCCTGGAGATGGAACCCAGACCTGGGAGAGGCCTTGACTTCACCTGGGGTCTCACCCCTCTGGAACCAGGTTGTCCTGGTAAGGTGCCCTGGGGGCTGCAGGGTAGCCTCCACCCACTCCCATGATGTGTGCTCCCCCTAATTGGGACAGCCACGCATGTCCCCAGACATTGCCCAGTGTCTCCTGGAGGGCCTCAGGGTCACCTCTGGTTACATTATCTGGAAATCCTGTTTACTTAGGTGTGAGAAACGTTAGGGTCCAGACCAGGGTAATGGGGGGGGGGCGTGACTGTCCCTGCCTCGCGGAGGGAAGGAGTGTGCCCCTTGTCGCTGACCTCCACATGCACCGTGGAGCGCACAGTCCTGCACACAGTAACGTACGGTGAAGAAATATTAGTGGTTACCTGGGCTGTGTGGCGTCCCTGTCCCCACTCACTGTGAAGTCTGAAGGTGGGTGGGGAAGGACAGGTTCGCTTAGGCCTGTGAGGCTGGGCGGGGCCAGGAGCAGTGTGGCTGCAGGGGACCAGCAGGCTGGCCCTGGACACTGCAGGGGACCAGCAGGCTGGCCCTGGGGCTGGGATTTCAGGGCTAGTGAAGGGTGGGGGTGTCGCAGAGGCTGGCCTGGCTGCATCGGGAAATCTCTTTACAGAGGAGATTAGGGTGGGAGGGGAGTTGAGGGTGGGGCAGGGGAGGCCAGGGCCACCCCTAGCTTTCTGATCAGTCCAAGAAATGGTTCTAATTTTCCTGAAGCTTTTTCCAGGAGAGACAGATGGGGAAACTGAGGCCCGGGATGGGAAGGAGCCTGGCCACCTGCAGGCAGAGGGGCAAGATTCCTTGGTGTGGCTGAAGCCCTGTAGAAAAGGGGAAGGATCAGGCCCTGTGGGGTTCAGGTGGCCTTTGGGGACTGCCAACCCACTCCCCCAGCCCTTGTGGGGCACAGCAGCTGGGCTGGCTGCATTGCCGGGGGTGATAACCACACCCCACCCAGGCGTCTGATAACAGCGACCCAGATGGGGTGGGAGTTGGCACATGATACCAGTTGGAGGCCTGGCTGCCCTTTGGGCTGGTGTCTGTCCTGGGGAGTTCCATGGGTGCTGGCCCCCAGTCTCCAGCTCCTGAGAGGTGTACTCACAGCCTGGCCCTCTGGGAGGGAGGAGGGGTACCAGACCATGCTGCCCCTCTTTAATTGGAGAACTTTTGAGACAGTTTCACCCCCGTATCCTTGACTAGCCTAGAACTCTAGCCCAGACTGGTCTTGAACTCAGAGATCCGCCTGCCTCTGTCTCCTGAGGGCTGGGATTAAAGGCGTGCCCGCCACCGCCTGGTTTAATGATTTTTTTATTTACTGTGTGCTTATGTGTATGGGCATGTGTGTGCCATGGAACGTGAGTGTGTGTGTGTGTGAGAGAGAGAGAGAGAGGTTGGAGGGCATGTGTGTGCCACGGTACATGTGTGTGTGAGGTTGGACACGGAACGTGTGTGTGAGTTTGGAGGGCATGTTTGTGCCACGGACCATGTGTGTGTGAAGGTCAGAGGGCATGTGTGTGCCACAGAACATGTGTGTGTGAAGGTTGGAGGGCATGTGTGTGCCATGGTACATGTGTGTGTGAAGGTCGGAGGGCATGTTTGTGCCATGGTACATGTGTGTGTGAAGGTCGGAGGGCATGTGTGTGCCACGGTACATGTGTGTGTGAGGTTGGACACGGAACATGTGTGTGTGAGGTCGGAGGGCATGTGTGTGCCACAGTACATGTGTGTGTGAGGTTGGACACGGAACATGTGTGTGTGAAGATCGGAGGGCATGTGTGTGCCACGGTACATGTGTGTGTGAGGTCGGAGGGCAGCTTGGAGAGTTGGTTCTCCCGGGGATCCAAATCAGGTTGGGGTAAGGTCTGCCAAGAGTATCTGACCAGCACACTGCCCCTCTTTTCTGTGAATGAGCAAAAGATAGCTCTCTTTTGGGAGGTGGCAGATTCATGAGCCCAGTAAGCCAGAAACCTTCACCCCCCACCCCGTCCTGGATCATGCTCCTTCATCCGGGCCTGTCGACTTTCCCACGGGCAAGCATTAAGTACCCACTGCATGCCAGACTCAAGCTCTGGAATTTTAGGGCCCTCGCTGGGAACTGGGCTCACAGCTGAGCGCCGGGAAGGGACCACCATCAGAGTCAGGAGCCCACCCCAGGGATGGTGCCCAGGGGGCAGCCCTTCATCTTGACTCCCAGCCAGGAGGCAGGTCCCGCAAGCCCGAAACAGCAGTCCGGGCCCCTCCCTGAGGAGGTCAGACGCGGGCAGGGTGAGGCCTGGCCTGGTGAAAACGGCACCCTCGGGCCCCCCTCTGCTGGCCGTTCCGCTCGCTCCCGCAGCAAGTTTACAGGATGTCCCAGCCTCCATGTTTTAGAGGCTGCAAAGCACCTAGGCTCCCGGGTTGTCCCCAGCTCACCCCAGCCCCGCCTGAGTCAGAGGGTCAAGTCCACAGCCACGCCCCCAGGGCCCTTCCTGGTGCTCCCCACCCACCTGATCCAGCTGCAGTCAGGTAGCCCGGGCTGTAGGGGACTCGCTCGCCTGCAGCCTCCCCCCAGGGAGCCCCAGCTCCCAGCCCTGTGGGTCGACTGTGACTCTGTAGCACAGCCAGGCCGCGCATTTGGCAAGTGTGCGCCACCGGTGTGCACACGTGCGTGCGCGCCCCAACCCCCTCGCGCGGGGCGGGGACTGGCGGGCTCCCCGCTCCGCAGGGCGACCCTGGCCCGGGCCTCTGTCTCCCCCGTGGCGGGAGCTAGGACCACGTGAGCAAGGCCGGTTGGTGCCGCCGCCGTCTCCGGCTCGCCGCCGCCGCCAAGCTACGTGCAGCAGCTGCGTTCCCGGCGGGCTGGCGGCCCCAACACTGCAACCTGCTCCTGGCTAAGTGGAACTCAGGGGCGAGAGGCGGGAACCAGCCGCACAGGGAGGCCCTGAAAGGGGAAATAAGCTGTTTGCATGCAGGGGGGGGTGCCCCCTTTTCCCTCACCCCCTCCCCCTGCCCGCAAAATGGCGACAGGATTACATGTCCCCCTTGGACGGACGCAGGACACGGTTCTGTCACCCGGGGTCTGTTGCAAAGCTAGGAACCTCGCCCTATAACCAAGCACCCCTCCCCTTCAGATTGAGCCCCCTCGGGCGCTATGGTCGAGCTGGGGTGGGGGACGAGTCCCTTCTGGGGCTGTTTTGGGGCGCTGGGGCCACTGACAAACATTCTGATTGGGGCCGGGTGTTTTGGGTCCTTCAGGGGACACTTTGGAAATGATAGGGGCCGCTGGCAGCCGTCAGGAAACGCTGGCCCCTTCTCCCCTTACTGCCTAGGGTCGCAACTTCCGGGGGCCTCGAGTTGCCTGGATGCCATGCAGAATTGGCACATGGGCACCCCGAAGCAGTTTCCTGGCCTCTGCGCCCCCATGTTGGGGGGTGCACTTGGGTGTGGTTTGGCCGGATGGAGATAGTTTTCCGGCTGCTTCCTGGGCGGTGTTGGCTGTGCCCCGCCTAGTCCCGGGCCCGCCCACTTCCCGCCCCTTTCTCAATCCTCTCCTGGGATCCCCTGAGCTGCTTATAAAGCAAGATGACACCAGGTCACCCCGGCCTAGCCTGGTATCTGTTCCCTTTTCTGGTCGCCTCTAAACTTTATTCCCTGGCTTCCATGAGTCCTGTCTGGAGGGCCCCTTGGCTATTTTCTAAGGGACATGAGTCCTTCCGAGTACCTGTTCCCCAGTGGGTCAGCCTGGGGCCACACCAGGTGACCTCCCTAGTCCCGTTGTGACATCGCAGAGGTTAGGTCTTCCTCCCGCCTCCTCCGGACTCTGTCACAAGCAGAAGTGCGCAGGGCCTTCAGATCCACACTCTGCACACACACACACCACTCCTCCAACCCTTGGGCAGCAGAATTCCAGGCTTTGGGGTACCCGGAGCAGCCGGGGTGCCCTGTCTCCAGAACTGGAGCCTAGAGCCAGCCAGACCGGGTCCGAGGCGCTGGGGTCCTGAGTGAGTCCGCTCGCCTGTTCTTGGTCCTTGGAAACCCGCCTGGGGACGTGCTGATCATCACACAGCCTGGTGCTGTGGGTGTCTCCAGGGGACCCAGAGCTTGGATGGGGATTCTGGACTGGCTCGGTTAAAGCGGTCGGGGTGGTGGGCGTGGTCTGTGGAGGAAGTTGCCTGGCGGTGGCTTACCCCAGCCCAAAGGCTGCTGCTGCATCTGACTGGCTCCGCCCCCTCAGACCACGCCCCCCTGTGCTCAACCCCCTACACCCAGTGGTTGAATTTAAGCTAAGTTTGGGGTCGCAGGGTGACCTTTCCTACCTCTGCAGGGCACAAGAGCGTTGTGCTACACCCCAGCTTCAGGACCCCGGGTTGAAACTATCCAGGACTGGTTATTCAAATCTGCAGGTGGCCCAAGGTATGGGGGAGGGCCTGCTCCATATCCGGGTGTCTAAGGCCCTGGAAAGTGCTTCTCTTCAGTGCCCCATGGTCATTTGGAAGAAAGGATGCTGTTGGGGACAGGGACAACTGAGGACCTTTTATTAGGGTGGGCAGAAGTGGGCACAGGGTAGCCATGGATGTGGTGGCCGACGCAGGTTGCCTTTAGTTAGTTCTAGGCCAGCTGGGGCCGTAGAGCAAGACCCTGCCTCCACAGACCTGAAGGTCTGGCTGGGCATGTAGCTCAGTGGGCAGGGTGCTCCCCTAGCACGCAGAAGGCCCTGAGTTCTGTCTTGGCACCACATAAGCCAGGTTCAGTGGCCCGCGGCTGCCATTCTGGTGCAGGGAGCAAGATAATCAGGCCATCCTCCGCTGCGCTGCCGATTCGCCGTGGTAATTAGAACCACCGCTTCTGTAAGTGTGTGGCAGCCGCCGTGGGGTTTATAGGGAGCCCCTCCCCGCCCACTGACCGCTCTGTCTTTTGTCCAGGTGAACGGCCCTTTGCCTGTGACTGGCCTGGCTGCGACAAGAAATTCGCCCGTTCTGACGAGCTGGCCCGCCACCACCGGACGCACACCGGCGAGAAGCGGTTCCCCTGCCCCCTGTGCACCAAGCGCTTCACCCGCAGCGACCACCTGACCAAGCACGCCCGGCGCCACCCCGGCTTCCGTCCGGAACTGCTGCGACGACCCGGTGCCCGCAGCACCTCGCCCAGCGGCTCGCTGCCCTGCAGCCTGGCCGGCAGCCCCGCACCAAGCCCTGTCCCCAGCCCAGCTCCCGCCGGCTTGTAGAGCCCTGCTCTGTCCGCCCCGACGGTGACCTGCCTGCTAGGCCTCGGCAGGGATTTCCATCGAGGGACACGTCTGCCCCCTGGAGAGCCCGTGTCCTGGAGTCCCGGCCCACGTCAAGGAAGCCTCGAGGGGACCGAGAATGGACTTGGGTCACCAGGGGCTCTGGGAGGTGGCCTCGGGTTCTGTCTGTAAATAGCCATGATCAACTGTCCCATCCCCTCTGCAGGGACCCCCAGGGGGCAGTCGGCAGGTCGTCCATGCCCCGTCTGCCACCTCTGCCTTCCTCCTGGGTGGCTTTGGGCATGGAGCCTAGCCACAGTCCCACGTCTTAACCTTCAAACTCCTCGTCACTCCTCCAGGTTGGGACACAGGTACACAGAGCCATAGGTGACCGGGGCTTCCCGTGGGCCCCGGCCTGTCCCCACCCCACTGAAAGCCATTGGCGGAAGTTCAGGGAAATGGGGGGGGGGTGCGGCCTGGCTGGCCCCCCAACATGGGTACTCAAATCTCAGGTGTCTACAGGTTCTGCCCTCAGTAAGGGCCACCCCACACCCCCAGCCCTCGGAATACAGGAGACGCTGCAGTTTTCAGAGAACTTAGGGTTGGGGGTGCAGGCAGGGTGTGTGGAGGCCCCTCAGAGAGCATCACCACTCGCTTTGGGGTACGGTGCTGGGCAGGTGGGAAACATTATTTATTGTCCTCTCTGACTGTTGGCATGGGGGAGCCTGGCTCCCCCATCTGGGTGTGTATAAGTGAGAGCGGCAGTGGGTGTCTGGTGCCTGGGACCCCGCCTCCCTCCTCCTGCTGGGTTAGGGTCCTGAGTTTGGCCCCTGTGGCATTGCGTCTCAGACAATCTTCTATAGGACCCGTGTGGCCATCAGGCTAGGGCACAGGGCGCGGCCCTGCCCTTCCTGTCCTCCACACTCCTGCGTGTGTGCGGAGGTGGCCTTGGACTCCAGGCCTGGAAGCGGGGCTCAGCTCCTGGGCCTTCTGGGATGGCTCGGGGTTTTTTGGATGGGATAGATTATTTTTTCAGGCTCCAGTTCCTTGTTTCAGGGGGGTCCCCTTGTGTGGCCGCCATCCTCAGGGGTATGAGTGTTGGGGGGAGGTCTCACCTGAACCTGGGGGTAGTTTGGGGAGGTCTCTCCCGAAAGAGTCTAACTTAGGGTCCTCTTCTTGTTGTGGCTTGGAGTTCCTTTTCTAGAAGGGCAACTAGGGGACCCCCCCAAGGAGTTGGGGACCCAGAGAAAGTTGAGTTGTCCCATATTGGCTATAGGAGGGTTCTGGCATCCCCATTTGTTCCAGAACCTTCCATCATCCAATGAGGGAGGCTTTGGGGACCGCCACCTTTACCTGAGCCTACCTGGAGGGAGGCCTCCCTTCTGGAGCTGGCTCGGGGGGTCCTAGGCCAGCCGCCCTCCCAGGTACTTCCATCCGCCCCTTCTCTTTGGCCACAGAAATGAGATGCCTTAGTCGGTGGGGTGGGGGTTGGGGCCCCATTCTTTTGTGTCTTTTGGATGTATCTTTCACCATCCCGGCTCCTGCTGGTCCCCTGCCCTTCCTGCAAACTGGAGAGGTTTGGGGTCCCAGGACCTTGGGAGGAAACTTCATAAGCAAGCAGAGCTTTCCTGGTGTCCTTCCCTCCCCCCCCCCCAACTTCAGGTTCTGGTTGGCCGCTGGAACTTGGGTCTAACCATTGAGGGGTAGTGTCTGAGCACAGGCCGGACAGGGGTCCTAAGGGATTTGTTCTTTCTGGGGAGGGTCACCCCTCCTGCATTCCGCCTGGCTGCTCTCCCTTGTATTTAATTAAAGAACCCCTTTTTTAAAAACCTGCGCTGGTGTCTGTCTGATTGGTTCCCAGGTCCCACCCCCATCGCTCTGGGCCCCCAAGGCTCTCCTACATCCTGGGGAAACTGAGGGAGCCTGCCGATATACTCAGGGGTCTGGCCTAGGACCCTCTGAGGCCCTGGGAGGGGGCTGCCTGCAGCAGCCTGTGCACAACGTGAAGTCACCCACGCCTGGCGCAGCTGCGCACCCGCCACCCCGTTTCCCAGCAACGGGAGCTTGGTGACAGGGCTCCTGGGGGCGTCCGCCACCCGCCCCCTTCCGGAGCCAGCAGGGGGTGGGGGTGGGGACGGACCCCAGGAGCTGAACGGAGTGGAGGAACTCCACAAGCTCTAGCCCAAAGGTGCCTCGGGACCCCCCCCCCCACGCCGCCCCAATGTGCACGAGCCGATCACCCACCGCAAACCCTCTTGGAATTAGGGAGAGGGGTGCGAGGGGGGGATTCGAGAGGCTGAGAGCTTTCAGGCGCCGCCGATGAGAGTTTAAATCCCTGTTTGGGAGAGACACCAGGTCCCAGGGGTCTGCAGAGCTCTGGGGCTGAGGCGGGGTCGGGGTGGGACCGGGAGGAGCCGCTGCCCCATGGCACCTGCTGCGCCCGCGGAGTCACGCACCCCACCTAGTGGCCAAGGCTAGTACTGCAGCCGCGTCTGTTCAGGGCCACCCCGCCCGGGGGTGGGGGTCCGCCTCCCACCTGCAGGGCCGCTCCCACCTGCAGGGGCGTTCCCTGGGCCCTGGAGAGCTTGGGTGGGGCCCGGCGCCCACGCTGCAGCGCCCACGCTGTTCACTTCCCACGGCACACCACCATTCAGGCCTCCGCGAACCCTCGGCTTCCCCATCTCCCTCACGGTTCTCTGACCAGCTCAGAGGTCCTTGATACTTCCGCGGGGCACACTCCCGACCCCCGTCCTTGGGTGGCTCCTTGAATCCCCACCTGCAGCTCTTGAGATGCCTCCAACCGCCCCACCCCACCCCTGCCATGCTGTCCCGGTGCCCTGTCACAGTGCGCACCCCATGGTCCTTGTACCACTCTGCAGTTGCGTGGTGAGAGCTTGGCACGTATGAGGCCCTCAGCGCCAACAACAGCACCACAAACGCCTATCCAAAACTCCGCTTTTATTTGTTTGTTTATTTATTTATTTATTTTTTGGTTTTTCGAGGCAGGGCAGGGTTTCTCTGTGTAGTTTTGCGCCTGTCCAGGAACTCACTCTGTAGCCCAGGCTGGCCTCGAACTCACAGAGATCTGCCTGCCTCTGCCTCCCGAGTGCTGGGATTAAATGTGTGCGCCACCACCGCCCGACAAGAACATTGTTTTATGCCATAACCAGCCCTCGCCCCTTGAACTGTCCTCTCCGCTCCCCAGCCGCCACGAATACTCGTCTTGAATCTACATCCCCAGTTCTGGACCTTTTCTGTGGCGTCTGCGCTTCGGCCTGGGTGTCTGGTTCTCTCCGAGCATCATGTTTTCCAGGCCCTCTACACCAGTGGTTCTCAGCCTGTGGGCCGCGACCCCTTCGGGGTCGAATGACCCTTTCACAAGGGTCGCCTAAGACCATGCTTACATTATGACTCAGAACAGTAGCAAAGGCATGGTGGTCCACGCCTTTAAACCAGCACTCGGGAGGCAGAGGCGACAGCAAACAGAATTACAGTTAGGGAGTAACAAGAAAAATAATTCCATGGTTGGGGGGTCGCCACAACACGAGGGACTGTGTTAAAGGGGCCTGGAGAGACGCTGGGAGGTAAGAGCCCTGGCTGAGTTCAATTCCCAGCAACCACAAGGTGGCTCCCAACCCTCTGTGATGAGATCTGGATCTGGTGCCCTCTTCTGGCCCGCAGGGATACATGCAGACAGAGCTCTCATACCTAAAAAGATGCATAAATAAATAAAATAAAAAATTTTAAACATAGAATAAAACAAAGGGTCTGGCATGGGGAGGCTGAGGACCGCGGCTCTAGGCTGTCGTGCGTCAGCCTTTCTTCTGTTCAGGACTGAACAAGACTCCAGTGTGCAGATGGACTGTGCTGTGAGTTTGTCATCCGTCCATCCACGTACGGATTGTGAGCTGCGTTTAAAATTTGACTCCTGTGACTAATGCTGATGGGAACAGTGATATTTAAGTTCTTGGTCGAAGTGTTTTTATTTCTTTGGTAAGCAACTAAGGATCTACTGGCAGGGCTTCATGGTTTACTGCCATCTCCCTTATTTCACGGTACCCTGCTGAGAGGGTCTGGGGGCGTGGTCAGGTGGAGCCCCGCCCAGAATCCCCAGTGAGGGGCTGGGGGCGTGGTCAGGTGGAGCCCCGCCCAGAACCCCCCAGAGGGGCTGGGGGCGTGGCTGAATGGTGAGTGCCAGCCTGGCCTCCACAAGGCGCTGGATTCCAATCTCTTGCCTGGAAATCAAGAAAAGAAAGAAAAGAAAAACCTCATCCTGGAGGTGCTGTTCTTGCCTCTGCCTGTGCTTTTCAAGATCACGAATGTGGCTAGAGTGGGTGTGAAATACACAGGGTTCCTAGCAGCCCTCGGAGGTGGAGGCAGGAGGATCAGAAGTCCAGAACCATTTTCACTACTAAGAATGTTTGGTACTGGGCTGGAGAGATGGCTCAGAGGTTAAGAACCCTGGCTGCCCTTCCAGAGCACCTGAGTTCAATTCCCAGCACCCACATGGTGGCTCACAGCCGTGTGACGAGATCTGGTGCCCTCTTCTGGCCTGCAGGGGTATGTGCAGATAGAACAGTACATAATAAATAAATAAATATTTAAAAAATGTTTGGTATTTTCCTGTCTCTCACTTAGGGGTAAACCCTCGAGGTCTTCTTCCCAATCATCTATGGCAAATGGATGTCACTCATATTGCAAAATTTGGCAAATTAAAATATGTACATGTGAAAAAAAAAAGAATGTTTGGATCAGCCTACATTTAAAAAAAACAAAGCAAGTTATGCATAACGGCCCTCAGCCCGGTCGGCTGGGAGGCCAGGCAGGAGGAGG